GAGCTTCCTCAATGGCACAAGGTCTTGCAGCCTGGCTCTGAGTGCATTTTCATTTACGTCCAAGGTGGTCCTCAGGCAAACGTTTCCATCGTAAGCTACCATTAACCTTGTTCCAACCAAGAACAAAACAAAAACAAGCTGCCGTCACACTCCAAACAACGGTTCCAATTATGATATTTGTAACATTAGGAGAGAAAAAAGAAGGTATCGTCCCTTGTGTAAAGTCAAGCATTTGGCCAAGGATGATGAAATTTTAGGCAAAATTTTGATGTCAATATTATTTGCAAGCTGCAAGCAACCCTCAAGCAAAAATCCTAATGTTATTCAAAATTTAATAAGACCGACCATCCTGCAGCCAGCATTACGACTTAGCGATGTTCTTCTTCACATGTGATGCTTGACTCAATTTCGACTTATGATATCCAATTATTATGGCGATCCTATTGTGTAAAAATACCTATTTCAAAATACCATCTAGGAATCAACCCAAAGCACCAAGTTGGGCAAGGTAAACCGTAAATGTCCTTAAAAGTGAGAACTTTTTACCTAGTAGTACCAACAGAGGAACCTCAAAAGGTCCCAACAGGGCAACACTAGTAGGACGCAACAGGGAAAGTGCTGCTGTTGCCAAAGGTCTAAAAATTGTATGTAATAAAGTACTATATTAATGCTCAAAATTAATTTATGACATCTAAAATCCAAGAATTCAACTGTTTCACTCTTACGTTAAAGTTCATGTCGAACAAAGGGTCAACCAGACATGCCTCTGAAGATTTAAGATAGCAAAAAAGTAAAATTAACAGCTAATACATAAGTCTCCACATTCTCTTTTACCCCGACTACTCTCAGTCGTCTACTAGTCGTCGAAGGTCGTCTTTTTCCCTGCAACAAAAAGTACCAAGATGAGAATCACAAAAATGGAACTTATTAAGATTTATTGAGAGCATCACATCCACAACCTACACACTTCATTAAAAAAGAGAATAACGCTGCCAACCTGTTCCGCGAGCAGCTAGGTATATTTTTTTCCACGTCCTCTACCACGTCCACCATCTCTGCCGCCACGTCCACCATCTCTGCCACCACGTCTACCTCTGAAACCACGTCCCCGATCCCCACCTCTGCTAAAACGTCCTCCACCACGATTACTGGAAAAACTCCTATCATTACTCCTGGGAGTACCAAAATCACCTTTTGGTTTAGCCTCTTCCACCTTCAAGTAACTGTCTCCAAATTCACTTCCATCAAGTCCTAGAGCTTTGTTGAAGCTGTCTGCATCCGTGAAGTCCATGTAGGCCATTCTGCAGTATATGAAGACAATTCATCAGTCTCAACACATAAGGAAAATCAGGTAGAGTTAGCAAAACAGTTGTATTTCATTGAGAGGCCAAATCAGCCAAATTCTACCTTTCAGTTGTGCCAATTCTAACAAAAGCTCACATTAACACAAGGTAACTTTTACGTTGACTTAAAACTCCCTAATAAATTCATGTTGAAGACCAAAAAATAATCCGTAAAAATCATCTAATACTAAGATAATGAGGCATATGTTAATTCCACAATGAAATAGTCACGCAAAAAAAAAAAAAATAAACAAAAACAAAAACAAAAACAAAACAAAACAAAACATGAACAATGACAATTCGAGATCAGTCAAATGTCAAAGAAGGCACATAATGTGTAAAATAACAACCACCAGATCGAAAAAGAAAAACAAAGAGATAAAATCGCAGATGTAGCAGGCTAGAAAAATACATAAAAAATCAGCAAAAGAAATTGTACAAACCCCTTAGAGGCGCCAGTCTCATAATCTTTGGGGATGGAGACCCTTGTTATCTCACCACAAGAACTAAAAACTTCTTGTAAGGAGCTCCTTATCTGTAAAATAAAACTAGTTACATTTGAACAAGAATATGAGTCTCTCACCATTAATTAGACAACAGAGCTAGAATTCCTTGAGCAGTGTATACCTCATCCTCCCCGAGAGAGCTGTCGAAACCTCGAATAAATATTGTTTTGGACGCACCACGTGGTCCCTTCTGATATGAGTTGCTCTCACTCCTGAAATCATTATCAATAAAAGGAATTAAGAAAATTAATGGATGACAACAGAAAAACAAAACAACAAATGAAGCAGTTAGGAGTCCAAATGTACCCGGTGGGGGTATAAGCACCCTTTTCACCCCTTTCACGAGCCAGATCAAGTTTGACATCACGACCAAGCAATTCTAAACCATTAAATTCAAGAGCCTGCAATAACAAAAGCTTAATAGTTTAGCAACAGAAACAAAAATGATTAACAGCAATACTACAGATTCCAAAGAAATGGTAATTGTCAAGAAATACCAACAGAAAAGTCAAACCTTCTTTGCTTCTTCTGCCGTGGCAAACTCCACATGCCCAAAGCCCTTGAACTTCCCTTCAGGATCTGAGGCAAAACGGATATCAACAACTTCGCCAGCATCTTTGAAGAAATTCCTCCTGCATAAAATAGAACTATTAGATAAAAGAAACCAAAAACATAACACAAGCTTAGATCAAGGTATACACATACACATCATGTTCCTCGATACGGAAGTTCAGGTTTCCAACGAACAGCGTCTTAGAAGAAGTAACTGGAGTTTTGGGGGTTTTGGCCTGCACACACATTATTACAAAATTAGAACATTTATGATAGGTAAGCTGAAACATCACCTAAAACCAACTAAAATCATGTACAATGCTAGCTCAGTATCGTTACCTGTTCATCATCCTCTTCTTTGTCAGAACTGACTTCCTCTTCTGAACCATCAGAGCCAGTATCCGCCATATCCTCATCAGAGTCAGAAGAGTCAATTGAATCCTCATCCTTTGTGGTACCCTGCAACAAAATAAATTTACTACATACCATCATCAAACCGCTTAAAAAACTTTGAAGTTTACAAGAAAACCAACATTTATCCTATCCACCAAAATGAGAAACATTACAAGGGCTTTCTGGCTTCACATGTGACACTAAATAAAAACTACAACATCAAACATTGCAGGGCTAACTAGTTTACTAGCTGCAACACATTCCAATTGGAATTTAAAAAGAATCAAACCTTCACTCCCTCTGAACTATCATCAGAGGAGCATGAAACATCCTTTCCTTAAGGGGTTACAGTAGATACCTTTTTTCACAACTTCCTAAACATGCTCAGAAAGATTAGGATTCAAAATAAGTACTAAAATCCCAAATTCAAACAGTTCATCATACAGTGTAATTCCTTCAGATGATACAAATATTTAAGCATGAGCACACACCTCATCTTCAGATCCAGAGCTGCTAGTGTCTGCCTTCTTAACAGCCACTGATGGACCTTTCTTAGCAGCTGCAGCAGGCCTTTGACCAGTAACCTTTGCAGGGGTTTCCTACAAACACAAAAGTTGAGGATCACTATCAACCAAAAGGTACCTTTCCCAATCTAACAAAGAATAAAATACACAACATACTGTACCCCAAATATACAGATATGACGGACTCAATTTTCAGGTGCATGTCACATACAATAACCCCCGTGGCAAAAAATCTACGGCACCAAGTTTGGAAAACCAAAAACTCACATCATCATCTTCAGATTCATCGCTACTCTCATCTGAGCTTCCGGCTGAGACTTCTTTCTTCTTTATAGCAGCAGTTAGACCATTCTGAGCAGCTACCTTAGATTTAGGAGCCTAAAACCAAGCAGTAACAAACAATTAGAAATAGCCAGTCCTATTTTCAAATCACAAATCAAACACGAGAAATTAACAGTAGTATATGTGCATCAGTAGTCGTATTAGGAACAAGTGTGTAGCGTAATAAACCTTCACATCAGGGTCAGAAGACACATCGGACTCCTCCTCGGAACTACTAGTTTCCACTTTCTTCTTCTTCTGAGTCTTTGCTTCGACTTTCTTCTCTGAATGGCCTGCGCTACACCCTCATCAACCTTCTGCTTCTTTGCGCTCACAACCTTCTCTATTTCGTTCCCGGCTCCTCTCTTACCTTCTCAACACAACCACAACCAAAACAAACTCCATAACCAACATCCGAAACAAACAATATCGCAAAACAAACAAACAAACATGCAAAATATTTAAGCTTCAAATCTTCTCAGAACATAACGAGTAAATCAAACTAAATAAAAAAAACTTACAAAAACCTCGACAAGAATCGATACCTTTCTTTCCAGACTTAGGAGCTGGAACAACTACAGCGGGAGCCTCAACCTGTACAGATAATCAAAACACAATTAGCAAAATCGAAGACTTGACGAAGCAAAAGCAGTTCGAAAGAAGCTTACTTTGGTGGCGGATTTCTTGCTTGATTTGCCCATTTGGGAGGCCGCACTCAAAAAACCTAGGGTTTAACGTTGTAGGGTTTTGGGGAGAGCGGTGGGAGTGAGAGTGGAAAATAATCGATGCTCCCTCTATGTTTATATAAGCTGGAAACTGGTGTGAGGGGTTAGGGTTTAGGACAGGTACGCCGCGAGTTGCGAGCGTGTGATATTTTCTTTTTCTTAAAACATGTAAGCGTGTGTATCATGCTGTGCGTTTTAAGCTCTTAGAATCTGAACCGTACGATAAAAAGGCCTCCCTACTCCTTGCGCCTAAAATTGTCCAGAAGTTTGGTTGGGCTTTCGCTCTGATGTCGAGTAATTTACTACTTTCTTCGAAGAAAAAAAGTTTAATGGTGCATACAAATAAATTATTGAGATTGATAACAAAATATATAAACAATCGTGAAAATCAAATATAACGGCTTAAATACTCGTAACACATATAAAAAAATATGAAATTATTGGGACCGAACCTGTAAGACTAATCAAGTTTTTTGGAAGGGAAGTGTTAACAATTCCCTTTTGGAAAGGCAAACAAACAATTGGCCAAGTTGGTTAGAACACAATATTTCTCCTTTTACGTTAATTTAACAAAAAACAACATCCAAGATTGATCAAGATTTTCTGGAAATATCCAAGCCATGGAAATGGAGAAAATTGGCAAATATCCAAGACCCACCTTATGATCTCCTATTAATTTAACAAAAAACAATGGTGTTATTTTACAAGGCATGGAAAATTGAGAAAATTGGGAAAATTGGGAAAATTGGGGAAATTTTGTATATAAAGCTACAAAGATAGTACATCATTTGTTGGGGGTTCTCTCATCCGCCCAAAGAGGATGGAAAAAAGGGGGTTCTGCCTTCTACTGTTACCCAAAGCCTCCAAATTGGGCTTCTTTGATCTTCTTGCTTTCTTCTCCAAGAGTGCAGGATGAGCTTTTCATCTTCTTCTCCCTCAACGAATGGATGCCTTTCAAGCAGGGCGTCTCCTTTCTCTCCGAAGAATATATTAAAGAAGAATAACCACCGTAAGATTAGTTTCAAAAACCAAATGGTGATTTTCTTCTGCTTCCGCCTTCTCCATATTGTTCGTTCCATTTCCTAAGTTCGTTCATGCTTGAAGCATCATAGGAAATTGATGGCCCAACCTACATGATCAAGTTATAAAAAAGTAATCGATATTTCAGCGTAAGTATTGCCTGTAGTTATGTTCTGGAAAGGTAAAGATAAATGTTATCTTAAATCTTTACCTTGGCTTTTGATTGAATAAAATCATCTAAATTAAGAGGCCTCAACACTGTAGCTGCGTCGCTTTTGATGTCCTGCACAATGAGTAACCAAACAACACCAATAGGCATATGGAAATCAGTACAAAACTTTACACATGAAGGAGAAGATATTCGGCAGGAAAATAGAAAACTAAGAAAATAGCAGCAAAATGTTATTCCTCCCAAGGCACCCGAAATAAAGATAAAAGCTCACACTTTGACGGGCTCATAAATGGAACCAACAGAAACTGACATTGACATTGCAAATAACAAGTGCATATTACCTTCTTTTCTTCTTCTAAAAGCTCCTGGACAGGTCTATATGCAGCAGCAATACAGAGGTTCTTCAAATCACTGCCAGAATATCCATCTGTTGCTTCTGAAAGTTTGTCAAATTGGAAACCAGATGCTAGATTCTCTTGAGCCAGAAATATACTCAATATCTTCTTACGATTTTCAACATCAGGTAAGTCAACGTATATCCTACAAAACAACCAACATAAATCAGTCACCATTGTTTGAACTTTATTTTAATTAATTTTTTTGTCAATATGAGGAGCATCTACTATCAAAGAATAAAAAGAATTGACAGACCCACATAGACAAACAATTGGCAAAACCATCATAACCAATCAGGAAAATATTCTTATAAATCAACCACACCTTCTTGGTAACCGACGAATGACAGCATCATCAAGATCAAATGGCCGATTTGTGGCACCAAGAATAAGGATTCTTTGACTGTCTTTGGACCTCAATCCATCCCAAGCTGCCATGAACTCATTTCTCATTCTTCTAGTTGCCTCATGCTCAAAAGAACCACCACGAGCACCAAGCAAACTATCAACCTACAACATAGAATATTTAACAGGATGATCAAATTCTGGGTTCAAAAAGAAACAAAAGGAACTAGTTTGTTGTATATCATTTTCTTTTAATTCCTCGAAATTGAAAACCTGACCTCGTCAACAAATATTATGACGGGAGCAAGCTTGCTGGCAAAGGAGAACAAAGCTTTGGTCAGCTTTTCAGCATCTCCAAACCACTGTATCAAAAAAAGTTACAAAGATAAGCATTTAAAAGCAAAGTAACCATCATCCAGAGAAAAGATGGAACATATAAATAATCTTGACAAGGAAAAATAGTTTGTTATTTAGTTTGTGAAAATAAACTCACCACTGCCAGATCTTAGATACTCGAAAGCATACCTTTGATGTTAGAGTAGAACCAGTTATGCTGATAAAGTTTGCCCCAGCTTCTGTTGCAAGTGCCTTGGCAAGAAGGGTCTTCCCAGTTCCAGGAGGCCCAAAAAGCAATATTCCTTTGCAAGGCTAAAAAGGTAGCTCCACATGATTAGACATTAGCTCATGAATTAGTGCAAATAATGAACAAGAATAAAATAAATACCCGCAATAAGTTTCCATGAGAGAAAAGCTCCGGTCTCCTCATTGGAAGAATAACAAGTTCATTCAGTGCCCTCTTCACGTCCTCCAGAGCTCCTACATCATCAAACCTAACACCAATTTCACCAGGAGGTACTACAGCTGAAACAAAGTTGCTCTCATATTCATCCTTTGCTATGTTCTGCAAAATTTTGTACATGTTAAAGGTGAAACAAGATACAAAAAAACTAAAATACATAACATTTAGTACGAGAAAATTAATTACATGCCTTCAAATTTTGAGAAGGCTTCCGAGACAAAGTTTCTTGCTCCTTCAAGCGTGAAATTGCTATTTCAAGGCTTCATAAAGTAACAAGAGTGTTAAACGTCAGGGTAACATAAAACTTTTAAATACTATATATGACAGATGTAACATTTACCTTTCACGTGGCAGATGCAATCTTTCACCTTTCACGTAAGGAAGAAGGCATGATGACAAGTAATGGTTTTTTGCCCAGCCAACTACTTTCTCAGCTTCTGGGAAAATAAACAAGTAAAACTATTACATAACACATGATCACAAAATTCTAGGTTTCACATAAAACTGAGTCACTTGCAAAATTCTGGTATTGAAAATAAAACACAAACTAGTTGTGACGTTCCAGGAATGCCCTACTCTAGATTATTTATTGACTGGTGCAGATCCCTAGCATGATTCAAGATAGTGATATCCTCTTTTTTTGATACAGAACAAAAACATTTTGTAAAGATCAAAAGTTAAAAAGGTTATCTTGGCCGTTGACAAGCAATCCACAAACTAAACGAAACTGAAAAATGTTCAAGACACATATTCATATCCTTCGAACGGAATTCAATGCCGACATCCAAATTCATAATAATACATTTCGCTTTTCTATCCATATCTCCCCTGCATATCTAACTTATAAACTTCAAAACTCCATTTTCCAACAGAAACTTAGTATTTTTTTTCTGTTTCTTGACAAGGAAAAATGTTCAAGTTAGGGTTTCTTACTTCTCTTTGTCAAGATTACACCATTGGTATCTACTAGCAATAAGTCCATGCATGAGAGCTCATTTTCCTCAAGAACCTGCAGTAGCTCAAAATAATTCAATACATCAAGGAGGTTTGAAGAACAAAAAGCCCCCGAAATAGACTAGTAGTAGCACAACTGCATTGCACAGTTCTTCACCGGCCACCCATGTGAATTTCACAACTAGAGCATACCTCATGTAATTCATTTAAATTGCTCCTTGCTATCACAATTCTTCCATCTTCTTCAATCTGTTTATTGAATACTCGAAGCTCCTCTTCCTCCTACAAAAGAAAAAAGGAAGAGGAAAGAGAAAGAAGTGTGAAACCACAAAAAAGAAATAACTAATCCACATTTGTATCTCTGTGTATGCTTATACATGTAAAGTCTGCAGACACAGTAGTCACACACGTTTATGCTGGAGGAAGACCAACATTTACCTTTGGCGGATATACGCAGAAAACATTTTTGAATAGCTTATATATTTCATTGTCATCTGATCTCTTTGTTCCTTTAAGTCCCTCTGTAAGACGCTTAAGAGAGAGAGGCTTGAAACAGAAATAAGCAATTTGTTAATTGAAGGAAAAAGTACACAACATAATTTTAGGGAAAACAAAACCTATCATCTAAGGAAAAAAATGTAAATCTTCAAGGATGAAAACTATATCGAAACCCCAGAAGCAGAAAAAAAAAAAAAAAAATTGATGAGCCAAGGATAAGAAAAATAACATTGATGATTTACATGGTTAAATGTTTGTTCCAACAGATAACACATATTTATTCATTACTGTTTGTGCCAAGTACATTGTGCTCCTAAAGAATACAGAGGATTACCAGCTTTGCAAGACGCCCCAAATTTGGAAGTATCATTGTCTAGAGCAGAGTATTTGTCAAGGAAAAGTGTTAGTAATAAACTACAAATAGTTAGCCACTAATCAGAAGCAGGTAAGCAAACAAAACAGATAGATCCAACACGAAGGAATCCTTAACACTTACAAATTTCTCTTTCTCCTTGGATCCTGATTCAACTTTGTTCTGCCCGCAAATCAAAACAACAGGACCTGATAACTCGTCAAAAATTTCTTGCACCTTAGCAACAAACTCCTTGCGATCTGACTTGGGAATTGCCCTAGACATCCATTGAGAAGAGTCTGGAAAATAGACAATAAGAGGTTGCTTGGCATGCAAGACCTGCAAGCAATGAAAATCCAGATACAGTTTACAGATGGACAACCTCATGCATCAGAAGACAAAGTTCTTATCTTTTGGTATTGTGTGCCACACCTCACACAGGGCCTCCAGTGCAATATAACAATCCTCAGTCTGCGGGTCAGGAATATGCTCAATTTCCTTAGCTGTATGAAAGGGAAATCTGTCAGTGTGTGACTAGAAGAATCACTACCAGAATTTTCACCAACATCTTCAGACATATCAAACTAAAACTAAAGCCAATTGTTAGAGAACCGAAAATATGATCTTTTTCACCCATAAGATTCATGCCATGATAATAAGCCACCTGCTATTCAATCCATTGCAGCCATTTTTTTCAATTTCATCATCCAAAGTACATGTCTTGATTACACTATTACTGGGATTTATTATCACCGATGAAACTCACAATTAAACAATAAAATCCAGGAATACAAAAAAATTAGGAGTACAAAAGCAAAAAGAGAAAATGATAATATGAACAGCTTGAGTATGAGTAATAACATTATGCAAGCCTAGAATTATAACCATTGAAAAATAAAGACCTACACTTGTATTAAATTGCTTAAATTACATTAATCTACAAGATAATGATGTCATACTTTGATCTGATAGACCATATGCATAATTAAATTACATCAGTTTGCAAATTATAAAGCAAATTGTGTGTATATTGGTCATAACTTTCACATGAACAACACAACATGAACTTGTCTGTAAAAAAAAAATTGATGAAGTCTTAAGCAAACGAAATCACAGCATAAAGTAATCTCCCGAGTCTAGGAACAAAAATGAACAAATTAAAAAAATCCATATTACCATGTATCCAATAAACTGGTGGATCTGCAGGTTGCTCTGCATCTTTCTCCTCTTTATCCACTTCAGTTCCTGCCTTCTGTTTAACATCCAAAATAACAGCAACTCGATCTCCACTCACCTCATATACCTCCCCACGTTGACCCTTTGGTAAAGGCCTGCACAGATTTCAAATTCATCAGAGAAAGTAACAAGATTTCAGAATAATGGATGTACATCAACTGCAGACAAGTATTAACCAACTATACTACTAGAACTACTACGAGTATTTTGAATTTTCAAATAGCAAAACAGAAGCGATAAAGCAAGGAAAGAGACTACATGAAAAACAGTTGCATAGCTTCCAAAATCAGACCCTATAAAATTATAGATAGTTACATGTACGTACCACATAAAAGCAGCAAACACAAAAAGAAAAAGAAATTCTACCATTAAGTGGGTTATGCAGGGCATAAACTGGTAGAGTCCAAAATATGTTATCACAAAGTATATGACAAGTTGACAACTAAATTCTAGCAATGCACCCACATAACCTCTAAAAGGAATCGAAACAGTTGCGCTAAATCATGGTTGAAAACCACTAACATCTTTTTACGTAACCCGAATAACCCTCCATACTTAATGATTCTCTAGACTATGGAAGTACAAGGGTCGAACATAGGTCCAAAGGAGAAAAAAGATACACGAAAAAGCAAAGGCTTTCTTGAGAAAACCAAATGGAGAAATCTAATAATGTTCTACTGCATTTCTCCCCCCTACACATGACAACTTACCAACCCACCTGCTACGGAAGATGGTATAAGCATTCCTTGGACCATCAGTTGTTGATATTTTCCCCAATAGGACCCTGTATTGCATTATATATGTTAATGTCAGGTGAGGGCGAAGTCAGAGTTCATTTGGGGATGATATCATCCTAAAGGGTTTTGAAAGACAGACGACAGACCACAGAGACGATATTCTAGGCAGCATGCTTGTAAGTTTTCAAACAACCTTAAAAATCAGTGGTTCAACACTGTCTCATCCACAGATTCTGGCCAAAAATCCTAGGCCGGTATGAGAAAAACTCATGGGAACTTAACTGATAAATATGCTAGCTCATTAAATGCCCCCCAAGAAACAGAATTGAAAACATAAATATTTTTAGAGGATTGACAAAGTTGCATCAAAGACACACAAAAAATCCTTTGAAGCTCACGATTGGTGCCAAATTAATTCTTCTAAGCTAATGCTGCAATAGTCAATTATACACAATAAATCTGCCAAAAGCCCCTCACCTAGGTGCAAAAGGGATATGCCTAGCCAGAAGCCCCGGAAGGGACCTATAATTTCTTTTCGAATTCCACAAGTTTCATTATCCAAAACAATGGAGAGAAAGTAGCATTCATGAACTTCAAAATACACCTTAACTTCATGAGTTCTCAAAATTTGAAAGTCATCTTTTTATCCAACACCATGAAAAAAAATTCCATAGTGCAGAAAACGTTTAAGATACTGTGAGATCTTATCAACATGAAATAGAGCAAAAAAATGAAAGAAATTATTCAGGACCTGTTATCAGCTTCAACACGTATAGAAGGCCCGATATACTTCACTCGATCTCCTACAATAGATGAAGAAGCAAGAATATTGATTTCTTGAGGACGAACAAGAAAAAGTTCTCATATAGAGATGAACATGATATTTACACAAGAAAAAGTTCTCATATGGAACCTTTCTTTAGCGGTCGTTTGCATTTATCAGAAGAGTCAGCAGTTTCTGATTTTGAGGACTCAGCTGAACTCTCAGTTTCCCCAGATACCATCTGCCAGATCATACATCATGGTCCATACAAAGTATATAAAGAATCCCAATTTATCAATAAGATCACCATTTAATTTTCTGAATCACTGAAATATGCTTAGGGTAGGAGGACTGAGAATACAAAAACCCTGATGCTCCAAAAAAAAAAAAAAAAAGCAGACCTTTGCAAAGTCTTCAATAGGAACAAGCTTCTTGAGGGCTGCTTCAGCTCTTGCATGCACATCATCTTCATCTTTATCACTAGAATCTGATTTTGCCTCGTTACTACTAGTCCAATCTTCTTCGTTACTCGCAGCATTTTCATCCTCAATCTCTGAATCAGAAGTATTCTCCTCCACACCATCATCATCTGATTCAGATTCGCAATCGTCACCAAAATCCTACTCCAAATTTTAACAGTAATTAATTATTAAAACCATACTGTGAGAGTATCAGGAGAAGAGGGGGCAGGGTTTGACAATATAAAAGATTATTTTTATTTCAATCATACATAAGGAGCAAGTACACTGCTGTCTAGCACCAAGAGGGGAACTTTGAGATCTTGTGCGAGTGCTCTAACTAATCTTTCACGATAAAGTTCAGTGCCTGCAGATAAACAAAGCAAATGGTAAGCTTATTCAGTTCTACGAAACAATGTCAACTATAAACATTAGCCACTTGAATAACTTTGAAAGGTAATGATTAGATTTGTGGGACCTGTGACCAACCTGGTGAACTCTGAAGCAGTATTTTTCCATTTGAAGATGTCAAACGAGAACCATAAGTTGAAGTAAACTTTTTATGCTTCAAATGGGAAGCAGCACATTCCACCAAAAGGTTTTTGGTAGGTTCACTATTAAAATGAAAAATAAATGTATAAATCTTCCGAGAAGTGATAACCAAGAGATAAGAAAGAGCAATCAAAAACATTAAAGAGAAGCAATTTACTGAATGTAGTAGGGAAATGTATCCCATGACACCGTTATTTTCTCCCACGGAACAACCCTCCTCAAAAACTCATTTTTTAACTTCTCTCGTTTAGATGAAAAAGGTGACTCTTTCTTTTTACTCTCAATGGTAATCTTTTGACTATTAAGCCACTCCTTTTGATCTTGTTCCCCAAGCAGAGCGTGTGCATCAAAATTCCTCCCAACTTCCTTAGCCTTTTCTTGAGAAGCCCTCCCTTTATCAAGATCAGCATCACCTTTCACTGGTGTTTGATTATCCTCACTTGCATTCCTTCCATTACCTTCAGAACTGTAGGGACGTAACTGGCTACCCTTCAAACATGGACTGGACCTTACATGCAAACCAGTGCAGCTATAGCCAGGAGCAACACTACGCAACGTGAATGAATCAACGAGACGGCTTCTAATAAAACTAGCATGAAAACAGTGGTTTCCCGAAACTGTATTATGACCTAAAGATTGAGAAGAACCATGAACAGTGTAGGTAGGCGTTGTTGAATATTTGGACATTTGAAGCACCCATCTCTGATTTTTACACTTTATTCTCCTTGCATGCATCATCACTTGTTATTTCCAAATTTTACCGTGCTGCAAAGTATGCTCCAATCAGTTTACAGTAGTAATTTTAAATTTGTGAGTGCATCAAAATTAAAATGTGCAGCATAAGAACCAAATATTATATGAACTTTCTAAGATATTCAAACATTGTTGCATGCTATAAAATATTCTTTCTAAAATTGTTTTCCTGTGAAATCAAGATTAAATCATGCCTGATAAAATAATATCAACATTTAAAACAATGATTTGCAAACTTTTCCAACCAGACGGCTCGCCTAAAACACACTCTTCCCAATCAAAGTTCTAATACATTATTTGCGTTTTCCATTTACCATACAGACGAATTGTATGACAATGCCGTATAACAGAGAAAGTAGTTATATCCATCTGATATTTGCCAGGCTCTAAATATGAATAATATGGAGCAAACTTGTCAATTTTAGATTACAGTGGCAGTGCCCGCCGGTGTACACAATTAAATAGCATGAATTTCCGAAGACTTTGACCGTTGCATAAGCTTTCGTCCAACATTCGTGACATTCGAAATCAAAGTTTGCTTCCAACTTCCCTCGCCTCACAAATTGAAAACAAAAACAAAATCAAGAAGCAAGCATCTGGGTAAGTTTTAGAGCTCCGAAAAGCCGATTTCATGCTAACTGCGAAGTAACTAAAACAAACCAATCTTAGCAACCAAGGAGAAGTGAGCGACCCTTATTTATTTTTCAATGCGTAACGAAAAGCAAACAAACAGGAAAACAAAAACATTTAATCACTTGAGAATCCATCAATTACAGACAATGAGAGAGCGAGAGAGGTACCTTATGTGAAAGGTCGGTTCAAACCCTAGGTTCGTCGGTGGCCATAAAGGGGAGACAGACACAGAGAGAGGCGGTAAAAGCGTAGGGGAAGCGAAAGATGGTACGGGGCGACCGTTTTGGAGAAAATGAGAAACAGAGGCTGAGATAAGATCTCTCTCTCTCTCTCTCTCTCTCTCTCTCTCTCTCTCTACCTTCTTCTCGCTTGTTTTTCCTGGGCTGCCAACCCAGAACCAGGTTTTTCGTAGTTTGGGTGGTTTTTATTAGTTTGGGTTATGATCGTTAGCCTGCACTTGTATGGGTTAGGGTTTCTTGAGAGAAACTGAATGGGCCCAAATTTTGGTTCTCATCAACAATTTTTCCGGCCCAAACCAAAATTCGAGATTCAAATTGAAAATGCACTCATACGAGTTCGAATTCGACACTGCTATCAATCATTGGACAACGACGTCTTGTTTGTGGTTTGGTTTTTTGTGATGGTCCTTCGGCAACTCGGCAGTTTGGTTTTATATATTTCAAACCCATCAATTTGGTTCATGTTTTAGCCGCAAAATTGTTCTTGTTTTACTTCAAAATTTCATGTAGCTAAAGGTGATTAGGTCGAATGAAGTTGTATACGTAGTGAAATGTGAAGTCATGATTTTATTATTCAAAGATTCTACATCAAAGAAATTGTTTATCATCTTTATTAGTTAAGACTTTTGCTTGGCTATGTTTCAAGAGGAAGGTCAACAATAAGGCACAGAACTAGACTGTATTAGTCCTTGGCCTTGCTATCTATTTTATGTATTTGTTTGTAATTGTCGAAAGAAATTAATTATGTTGTACTTACATAAGTGGCGTTACGTCGATATGTTAATCTATTTTTAGAACTTTTCATTAGCTACATATGTAGTATCTTCGTATGAAATCATTTTGAACTTTTGTTGAATAAATTAATCACCCATCACCCGCTTCCCATTCATCTTATGCTTGAGTTGGAAGCTGAAACCAAAATAAGGGAGACGAAGGAAAAGTGTCTTTAACTAATGTTTCCCTTTTTATTACAGGTTGTTAGGCAACCTTAAACTCGTAACGATTACACAATCGTTAGAACAACAACCAATCAACCGAAAGTAGCAAATGTACATGCCAACACGCATGCAACTAGAGAGACAAATTCATAGAGAGTTATTTGCAATTGACGGAGCTAATTTCCTCCGAATAGGATTCAATCTCACTTGGAAAGAATGGTGGTTTCAGCGATCATGGAAGTCACAATATACGGATCCATGTTCGACGCCGGCCTTCTGTCCTCGAAATAGCCTGACATTTGTAAAGAAATACGACATGTCCAGGTATCAGCTACACAGCTAACTTGTATCGCAAGCATTATGACAGAGATCTATCTCTGAAATCGGAAATGACACAAAAGAATTCATATTATACAATGCACATACGAAAACATTCATACCTTTGCCAGCCTTCTCAGTATCGCGACCAATACGGACAGAGGCCCCTCGGTTTGCCACGCCCTGTGAGATTGAGAATGCATAGTTCAATCAAATACTAAACTCGTTTTCACAGGTTAACTAAACATGATTTCAACAAAAAACAAGAAATGTGGATTTTGATTAACGGTTAATTAAACCACGGTGGTAGAAGCTTACCCAAGAGAAAGTGTGGATGTCAGCGGTCTCATGGAGACCTGTCAATCTCCTCTCGTTGCCTTTTCCGTAGGCAGCAATATGCTCCTTGTGACGCTGACTCAGTTTCTCGATTGCCTTCTTGATCACGTCAATTCCGCCGTCGTTTCTCATTGACTTGGTACTGCATGGCATAACAAGAGTTCATCACTCTTCATTTTTTTTTTTTTAACTAGAGGGTTGATTGCATCTAACACGATGGCAAAATTGCATTAATTCCAACTTCAGTTCGAGATTAATTTATCAGTACCTGTAGTTAGCGTGAGCACCAGCACCATTCCAATCACCCTGGTATAAATTGATCAAAAAGAAAAAATAAATACAAAATTTAAGCAACACAAATACAACAGTACGAAAATAAAGCGCTTGCGGTTAAACAGACCTGGATTGGTTTCGGGTCCAAAGAAAGAACAACTCCGGCAATTTCTGTAATTCTCTGTTTGTCAAGCAGATAATCATATTAACACGAGGCCTTCGAAAAATTAATGTATTATAGAGAAGAGAGCGAAAATACGCAAATTATACGTTTTCTAGTTATATCGTACGTATGAGCTTACCTCAAGGATGTATCTAGCAGCCCATAACTGATCACCAGCAGCAATACCAACAGTAGGACCAACTTGAAATTCCCACTGTTCCGCATCAGCAAACAGACCAAATTACAAAACGGCTTAATAATGTAAAAATTCGGGATAATCAAATCATAGGTCAACTTTCGATCACTCAATTTTATTTCTTAGCTACCAAATTAAGTACGTAAAATTGTAAAAGCGAGCATAAATATACACCTGGCCGGGCATAACTTCAGCGTTGATACCGCTAATGTTGATTCCGGCATAGAGGCAAGCCTTGTAATGTGAATCCACAATATCACGACCGAAGGCCTTGTCTGCTCCGGCACCGCAGTAGTAGGGTCCCTACATACAGAACCTAACAGTTAATAATATGCAATCAGCACTCTAAAATTTTGAGTTGTCTTCTCTAATTAAGTAACTAGGCATGTTTAGGGAACATTGATCGCGTTAATCATTGGCAAATGATTTAAGTACCTGTGGACCAGGGAACCCACCAATTGGCCATCCAAGAGGCCACTTAGTATCCTTTTGTAGAAGAGTGTACTCTTGCTCAATCCCGTACCTAATCAATAAGAAATGTTCTTAATAAGAGGTACCAACGTCTAGATGTGCATTAAAGAATTAAAAAAAATAATAATAATTAACATGTGAAATTTGCCACGTAAAAAGCAATGTATATTGTACATTGAAATATAGTAGGGCTTATAACAAAATAATAATAGATGGCACCAATTTTTTCACCAAATCTATTCATCATATATGTGTTTGTAAGTGTTAAAAACTAACGATGTTGAAAATGAGTCCAAGTTGGATAAGTAACCAAGTGACGCATCATTTGGTGAATAAAACTTGATCCATTGTTCTCTAATGCAATTATTATAAAAATACCCCATTTCATAAATTAATTCGTACATCAATAGTTTACAGCTACTTGTAACTATGCGGCCTTAACAACAAAGATATTAAATAATTGTTTATGGACAATTAACAACAATTATTTTTCAGTATATGACAATTATTTAGTACTAATCAGGAATATGGAATTAAGCAGAATTACTAGTTTAGTTTTGAGATTATGGATGGTTATGGATGGTGTACCAGGGTTCCTCGGCGACAACGTCCGGGTGACTGAATATCTTGGCAGCGTTGAATCTTTTGTTGGTGGGGATTGGCTCTCCCGCCGGTGTGTACGCATCGCAGATCACCTATCACAAGCGAAAGACAAAATTACCATGTATCGTACACAATCCGGATAGGTGTGGATGTCGATTGCTATTTACCAGGATGTTTTTTCCTCTTCTGAATGGATCCTTAAAAATAGCCTGGGGGCTGAACAAGCAAAAGTCCAAGTCAGTTTTTTGTTATTGGAAGGATTAGATTAAAGATTGCAGAAATGATTTTGATCGTGGCCGTTGATAATGTTACATACTGCAGGATGACTTCACTGTTATCTCCTGGGGCTTGGTCGGTGCTTGAACCGTCGTAGTTCCATTTGGGCAGTTTTGCTGGGTCTGTTACTGGTCCAGGCAGTGTCTGTTTTTATCCATAATTTCATATACATACGTGAACAGAACTTTAATTTTAAAGTAATTTGATGTTAACCAGTAAACACGAAAATCGTAATAAAATTTGCTAAAATATTCATAAATCAAATATTAATTGATGAAATAGTCAAAAACAACATATTTGACAGAAATATTGGACGTGAAAAATGATCATTTTGGCTAATTTTCCAAAACCGAAGAATGACGGGCTTATAGCTTGAGTAGTTAAGAACATTCAATCCTAGGGATGGGGTCCTAATAGTTCGAGGGAAGGCTTACCCTTGCTTTGCTTCTCAAGTCCAAACCAGATCCTCCAATCCTATAAGAAGAGAAAGAAGAACAAAGACAAGAGAACTTTAATGATCGATAATATTAAGTAAATTAATGAGAGGAGGGTGGGCATGCATATACCAAATGTATTCAGCGATGATCTTCTCAGTGGATTCGGAGAGATTGAGGTTGACGAGATCAGAGAGGAGAGACATGGTGACGTACGACGAGGAGGATGATTCTCTGAACAATGGCAAAAGAGAGGGAGAGAGAACAATGAGAGAGAGTGGCAGAGAAAAATGGGGTAGTTTCAAGTAGAAGATGTGACAAAGTCTACCACCTAATATATTAATTTATTTTCTAATAGAAAAGGGAGCAAAAATACGTGGAATTTCACTGGGGAGAAACGTACGAGGGTATACCGTATACCGTGTTTTGGCTGGCCTCTCGCGCTTCACGTAGGCTTCTGAAACCGTCAGTTTCCCTTTCCCGCACCCAATTGCAGTCTCTCCTTGTCACCTAACCACCCGCCACCGCCAATCCTTACCCTAACTCTTATCAGAACGCAGAGCGCACCTCTTGAGCTCGTCTTCGTCTACTGGCGCGAAGAACGACGGAAATCAGGGCGGCGATGGCGCGAAGGTCGATGCTTCCTGGATCGACTTGTATTTTCCGAGGCAAGCTCGGCCTTATGCTAAGCTCGCTCGCCTCGACCGGCCCATTGGCACCTGGTTTCTCGCATGGCCTTGCATGCTTATGGTAAGTGATTTTTACTTTCAATTTTTTAATTCGGTTTCCGCAGTGCATTGTTTGGTAAAAATCACCAATAGCAATTTGGGTCCAGCCGAATTTATTTGTTTTATTTTTTGGTACTAGCGATATTCTATCTTTTTAAACTAATCTAATCAAACTCGGATGCATAAAGGCGAGCACATTTACTTGTTGAAAGTAACAGTGGCAACGGTAACTTTATTTGTTTAAGTTGAAGTTGTCTGAAAGACGTATGCTTGTTGGTGTAGGTCATTAACATTGGCAGCAATCCCAGGGCACCTTCTTGATTTTAAGATGATGACACTATTTGGATGTGGAGCCGTGCTTTTAAGGGATGCTGGATGCACTATAAACGATCTCCTTGACCGGGATATTGATACCATGGTAACGCCCACGGTGCCATTGAATAATTATAGGTTGATATCTTTTGTATCTGCCCTTAAACTCAACATTATCTGCAAGCATATGAAATTTATGTAGTTCGTTTGAAGTTTCAGCCGCGTTTTAGGCGCTTCATCTTTGTTGCTAGTTTTCTCCTATCCTCTCATGAAGAGGTTCACATTCTGGGTAATTGAAGCTTCTGTCTCTTATCCTCAAGCTTTACTCTTTAACTTAGACGTGCTGTTTCAGAACAGTGGACTGATAATTTGGTAATGCTATTGTACTTGGTGCAGCCTTAAGCCTATCCAGGTTTAACCTTTAATTGGGGAGCGTTATTAGGATGCGCCGCAGTTAAAGGAAGCGTTGATCCAACTGTGGTGCTCCCATTGTACTTTTCCGGAGTATGCTGGACGCTTTTGTATGATACGATATATGCACATCAGGTACAACAAACTAGTCTGGTCAGAACTTCTGGTTCCCAGATTTGATTGTGAAGAAAATATGGAATATGTAGGAATAATAGAACTTTTTAAATGTAACCAAAGATGTTTCGAACCATGCTTGCAGGACAAGAAAGATGATTTGAAAGTAGGTGTTAAGTCTACGGCATTGAGATTTGGCGATTCAACTGAGGAGTGGATTACTGGGTTTGGAATTATGTGCATGAGTAGTCTTGCACTCCGTGGATATACCGCTGAAATTGGTTTTCTTCCTTCTTCCTTTATTTTTATCTGAGAAAATTATAACAATGGTCTCTCAATTTTATCCCAATTAGAACAATGGTCCTTCAATTAAAAATTCATGATCACTGGTCTCTTAAACTCATCAAAACGTACTACTATAGTCATTTTCATCAACTTAGTCAAAATTTTGTCTAAACCATTGCTATAATTTTTCACATTTCGTTTTCTATATTTGCCCATTGTTTCAGCCTTATGTGTGTGACACGTGATTCAGTTTGACGGAAGCTTTAACGGAGTTGACGAAAATGATCATAGATGCACGTTTTGATAAGTTTAAGCAATGTATTAAAAGGCGGAAGCGTTCCATGGATAGCCCTGCCTAGACGCGAGACGCGACCTAAATAACTTAATATATATTGCATACATAGTTAACGAAACCTTGCACGATTTCGTTGTTGTACGACAAACGCGTGAGGAATTGAAGTTTGATAGGAAGAAGCGGAGGAATAGCGAGTGGAGAGCTTTCTGAGAAAGAAAACTCCATAAAAGTAGAAATAGTGCGACCTGTCCCTTCCTTTTCCACGACGACCAACACATGGATGGCAGGGACAAAACTGTAAATTCAATGTTCAAAAAAAAAAAAATGCTTGAGAATCAGCAGCAGCTAAGGGTATTTTTGCCAATTTACTGTCCGTGAACAGTAAACCATAGTTTGGGTTTTAGTATAGAAATAATATATATATATAGTATAATACTTTGTAAAACAAATATAATTATAACTAAGCCAAAGATAATAGCTTCTTCTTCATGAACAAGTGTAGTTGTACTTGGAGATTATGTCATATTGTATTAAAATGTTGTAATTATTTATTTTATTGTGAGCAATTATAGTGAACTTCAAGAGAAATAAGGCTGAATTATAGGGAGTTTGAAAGGAAATAAAGGCAGAATGTCGCAATTATAGGCAATTCAAAAATAAATAAAGGATAAGTGGAGCTATTATAAGGAATTAAAAATGAAATAAAGATTGAGTGAAGCAATTATTATAGGGAATTAAAAAATAATAATGGCATTATAAGGAATTAAAAATGAAATAAAGATTGAGTGAAGCAATTATTATAGGGAACTAAAAAATAATAATGGCTGAGTGAAGTAGTTATAGGAAATTTCAGGAAAAATAAATCTTGGTTAACTAAAATGCTAGGTGATAGAATCTGAATAGACAATAATTAATAAATAAAAAAAAAATTAAAAAGAGCTAGAGTTGACTTTGCCACTAGGATTTGGAGAGAGAAACTTTATCTCTTTCTTCTTCCTTGAAACTAGAATGACACACATAGGAACGGTAGAAATAGACCTAGATTTGGAAGGAAAAAAAAAACCCAACTACGCCTAGGTGTGCCACGACACCACCTTACGCCTACCCCACAAAACAGAGGCGAAAACCTAGCAGCCCTACCTCCAAGTGTGTGTAGGCGCACCTTAAGGCTAGTTTTAAAACCACTGAGTTTAAGAAACCAATGATCATAAATTTTTAGATGATGAAACATTGCTACAATTTCCTCTTTTCATCTCTGTCCCTTTTTTTTCCCCCTTTATCATTGTTGGAACTTCATAAATTTTCTTTTCGTTTATGCTACATCCTCACACCCAAATTGTTAAACTTTGGAGCAGGTTGGCCATATTATGCATTTTTGTTGGCTGCATCTGGACAATTAGCTTGGCAGATATGGACAGCTGAGGCCATCTCCAACCGAAGGGTCCAGAGGGCCGAAAATAGCTTGAAAATCATCTCCAACCTAGAGCTCGTGGAATCTGAGAAGGCCCCACGAAATCTGAAAGGGTTGGAGGACTAGAGGGTTAGCCAGAAAAATCATTATTCTTGTTGGTTAGCCAGAAAAATCATTATTCCTGTCGGTTATAACCGACATGAATCCTTAAGCTAAAATTCAAATGCAACGACTAGCTGACGTCAGCTAGGCGTTGCATTTGATTATTACTATTATTTTTTATTTAGAAAATTTTTCCTATAACTTCTATTTCACAAAATTTGACACACCCCGACCGAGATCAGGGCGTGCTAGCCGTCACGTGGAAGTGACGTAGCCAAGTGCACAGTGCGGAAGCTAATAAAGTAGTAATGTAAAAGTACGAATAATTAAAAACTAGCATACATAAGGTCAAAGTAATAAGTGCTAGCGTAAGAGAGACACAATTTCAGAGCAGAAAACCCTAAGCAGTCCAACTAAAATAGCGTTACAACAGTGCACCCGAAGGTGAACATACGCTGGTGATCGTCTGTCAGAAATGCCGGAAAAGCCCTCTGGGAAACCACCAAACCAACTGAACAGCTAGAACCTGGAGGGGCGCAAAACAAAAGCGTGAGTGGGCAAAAACAAAGCTTTTCGAAAACCGTTTCAAAAACAATATTCTAACCCCTCACCGTAAAACCTGTATACTTCCCAGAAAATAAACGTAGGTACGTATAAATAATATATGACAGTCATGCTCAAGAATATGCCGTGACGGAACCGCAGAATGGAATGCAAGTGCTCAGGTATAAATCACATCAATAACATATAACTGGCAGCCGGAGTCACCTAACGTGACCTGTACGGCTGCATCTAGAGCTCAAATCTCAATATCAATAACTAAACCTGCCCACGAGTCGGAACCAGCTAAAGTGGTATGTACGACAGGCCTGGGTGTAATACATATAAACGCTCTAGTGTTACGATCACGTGAAGGCTGTGCGAATAATCGCAGGTCACCTACGAATCGGAACCACCTAAAGTGGTCTGTACGACAGGACTGTGCACCTAACTTAGATCCAAGCTGAGCGTGTGGTGCGGGAGGTGAACATCACGTGAAGGACTGTGCCCTACTCTGGGCGGGAGCACTAACACCGGGGGTGCAGGTTATGAGCTCTCTAAGTATCTCTAATCACTATTGAATGCAAATATGAAATAACGCTTACCTGGCACTTACCTGTGCATCCACAACACCAATTATGCATACGTATATATATACGATTAATAAAGCCACTAATGATGCATAAGGAACGATAATATAACACATGGCATAACTAATAACATTTAAATAAATTTTTGGGAAAATAATAGTATTTAGGTATATACGGAAAACCAAAAGCCCACTCACTGGTATGTGGAAGGGTCGTAGCCCCCCTGCCTCGAGTGACCACGCTCGTCCTCGGGATACGTCTCACCTATATGCGAAAATACTATAAAAACGTTAATTTTAAAGCACATAACCTTCCTTTCGTAGTAACTTCTCATACATTGCTCAAAATGGACAATTGAATATACCAACGTGCTCTACACAACCTCAGGATCACACCCAAATTTTTAGAAAAAATTTCCACCGCCGCACGCGCCGGCCACGCGCAGGCACTTGCCTGGCACGCTGACAGCGTCAACTGACGCCGTTAGGA